ACAGATCTTTTTTCTCATACCACGTTTCCTCTTGTCCTGTCTGCAGTACTAAGGCTGCCATTCAAGTAGCATCATTTTCTTAATTTACTACAGTTCCTCTTGGTTTTTCTCATCTTTGTTGCAATCCTTCTCATTACCCATAGAATTATAAGAGTTGGAAGGGACCTTGGAGATCTTCTAGTCCAACCCTCTGCCTAAGGCAGGAATCCTTCCTTATTCCACTTTGGACAAATGGCTGCCCAAACTTTTCCTCTAGTGATGCAGCACCCACAACTCTGGAAGGCAAACCATTCCACTAACTGATTGTTCTCATTTTCACCCCAAATTTCTCCTTAGTTCCAGGTTGGATCTTCCTCTGACAAGCTTCCATCCATTGCTTCTTGTTCTGCCTTCAGGTGGTTTGGAGAGTAAATCAATCCCCTCATCCCCCCCCCTGACAGCCTTTCAAGTATTGGAAAACAGCTATCATGTCACCCCTAAGCCTTCTCTTTGTTAGATTAGACAGGCCTAGTTTTCTCAAAGGTTTTTATTTCAAAAGGCAATTGGACTATTTTTTTTTCTTTGAGGAAGAAGTTTTGCTTTTCATCCAAGAAGCTTCATCAGTTCTGGCTGGATGGTGTATGTGTGTGTGAGAGGTGGGGAAATGGAAGGACTAGATCCTGACAGGATGAAGGAGGGGAAGGGAGGAAAAGAGATTGGTTATACAGATGCAAGCTATATGTGAGACATATTATGTGTACTTTATCAGGTACTTTAACTTTGCACTAAAAAAAATAATGGACACTGGTCTGACATACAGACTCGATAATAATATCAAAGAATTTCAACTTCTCAGGACTCCAAATAACAGATTGCAAAGTGACCATTTTGATAGAAGGAGGCTAACAATACAATTGATTAAGAAGTCACGTATGGAAGTCACGTATATCAAAAGNATCAAAAGTCTACTTCAAAGGATTCCAACAAACACAATGCCTTTTTAGCAGATTACTATTGTACAATGGTAAGACTGGGAGCCACTTCCTAAGAAGCTTCTTGCTCACATGGTCAGCATTCCTATTGATGCTCTTGTTGATTTATGGATTACACCAGTGGTGGGATTCAGCCAGTTCGCACCACTTCAGCAGAACCGGTAGCTAATTTTTTGTTGCCCAAGCCCAGAATGGACTTCCAGAAGCAGCATCCACACAGAGAACCGGTTGTTCACATATTTGAATCCCACCACTGGATTACGCCTATGTCCTACATACTAAGTGCTCCTCAGGGAAATGAGTGGTCAGAGGCAGGAAATAGAACATGTAAGATTTAGGCTATTCAGATAAAAGAATAATAGTTCTTTGTGTTTTTAACCCAGTCTTGGTTTCACAAGGCCAGGTGGTTTCTGGAATATGAGATAACTGTCAGCAGCAGCTGCATCTCTTCCAAACCACAATAGTTGTCTATGCCTTGATAATAGCTTACTTGGATAAGTTAATGCAGCATTCAGTTGGCTGCATTCAAAGACTATCCAGAAACTATAGTCAGTCCAAAGAACAGCAGATGTATGCCTGCTGCTGCTTTGATGAACACAACTTGCCACATCTATTTTGAATCAGTTACCCTAAATCCCAATGACTTCCAGACACTTTTCAATGATCTTTACACTAAGTATGATAGTTTGAATAAAGCCACACTTGCCTGAGTTCACACTATATGCAAAGCCAAATCCAAACAAATCACATGATGATATAGTATGATGCACAAACCCCAAAGTGTTGGTTTTGAGCCTTTTGCTACCCAAGCCATGGTGGCGGTGGTTAGAATGCAGTATTGCAGGCTAATTCTGCCGACTGCCAGGAGTTTGATCCTGGCCATCTCAAGATTGATTCAGGTTTCCAACCTTCCGAGATGGGTAAAATGAGGACCCAGATTGTTGGAGGCAATATGTTGACTCTGTAAACCACTTAGAGAGGGCTGTAAACCACTATGAAGTGGCATATAAGTCTAAGTGCCATTGCCAAGTGTTATTTGATCTTTGAACTCCTAAATGGCAGTATCAGGGAGAGACTGCCTTCTTTTACATGAGCCTACCCAAGTATTAAGATCTGCTTCAGAGACCACCCCAAATAACCTAACAACGTAGGAGGCTATAAATCAGGGGTGTCAAACTGCCGGCCTGCGGGCCGGATGCGTCATGCCAAAACCACGCCCACCCCCATTTTCCAATGGAAAAAAAGTTGCGATATGTCACGACATATCACGTGACGTTGCAAGTTTGACACCCCTTCTATAAATCATAGTCTACCTCCATAGCAAGCTTGGCATCTCATGGACAAGATTTTTGTCTTCACTGCCCACAAGAACTAGCCAACATAACCAGTGGTAATACTACCAACTGTAATTCAGCAACATTTGAAATAATTTTGTTTGTTGAATTGCTGGTACACTGCTCATGTCCTCCAGTAATTACCTAAACAACCACATGAGGAAAATGGGGTTATATAGAAGATATTATAGAACTCACTAGTATAGTAGTCACCAAGGCAAATGGATTGATTCAGACAAGATCCCACCTTTGAGTTTTGGTTTGAAGATAAATAATCTTCAAGGAACCCTTTCTGTGGGATGCTTTTAAAGACCCTGAGATCGTAAAAAGATCCAAACATTTGTTTTTTCAGATAAACATAGCTTTCAGAACGCTGAGTTAAAGGTTATCCATCAATCCACGAGCCAGCAGAAAAGTATGCCTGCATAAATTATGTAGCTCTACTCTTTATTTCTATTTTGCTGCAGTAATAAGGTGACAAATGGTGTTGTCTTCACAGCGTGCCCCAGCAGATATGTTAAGGAAGAAACTGCTAGATTCCTCTGGCTTTGTTTTCCTCCCACCAAGTATTAGATGCCAGCAGGAAAAACTATGACCAATCCCTCTCTTTAAAATAGGACAGAGTGCAGTGAAATGAATTTAGCCCAATTAACAAGAGGTATGTAATAAAGTGGGAGGGAGTTTGCCAGATGGTCCTTGTAATTCCTCTTTGCCCATCCATCTGTCTATTTATCATCTATCTGTTGTGGAAGTCCATCTGATATACATAGCTCTGGGTGGCAATTTAAAAATAATAAAAACAGAAAAGCAAACCTAATAATTAAAAACATAAATAACACACAGCATAACATAGCAGCCAAAAATATCACCTCACAATCAATTTAATCACAAAGTGGAGTCACCCACATTATCAAGGCCCTGGAATTGACCGTAAAGCCAAGGTTTTTGAAACGGCGTTCTCTCACAGATGGGAACAGGAGCATACATTTCTTGCTGGATCTAACAGGATAGTAAACCACATTGGGGAGAGATGATCCCATAACTCTTACCTGTGAATCAGGCTATTTCTGAACAAGGTTAAACACTTGTTTAAAACAGTGATAAAACTCATGTTCAAAATAGTCCAATTGACAGGTACAAGCAGTAGAAACAGCATGCAGGGTAAAATGAGATACAAGTGTATGTAGAATTGTAACTGTTTATTGTTATAATGACATCTTATTTTTTTCTTGCATTTCTTTCACTTTTCGTGTTAGAGCACATGTTTCATTTTTTCCTTTTCTTTGACCACCACTATTCTTTTTGTGATTTGCTCTTCTTTCTTTCCTTTTTGCGATTAATTAAACACCAATAATAAATAACCAATGAGTTCCATCCTGAAGAAAGTGAGCAAGGAGTCCAGTTCTGTTCCTGTGGCTGGTAATGCTGGAGGTACCTGGTAAGATAGCTTTGGAAAACATGCAGCTATGATTGACCCATGCATGATAAAAGCAATCATCCTGATACAACGTAATGCTGCAAAAGCAGAAAAAGGACGCACTCATTCTTCTCTGACCAGGGCAACATAAGTACATGAATTACAGAATAAGAATTGGAAGGGACTTTGGAGATCTTCAGACCAAACCCCCTGTTCAAGCAGGAGACCCTATACATTCCAGACAAATGGCTGTCCAATATCTTAAAAACCTCCACTGATGGAAAACCCACAACTTCTGGCAGTAAATCATTTCACTGATTAATTATAACTAATTACAATTAGTTAATTGTTGACATGACATTTTTTCTTAATTCTAGGAGGGGATCTCTCTTTAGTGACACTGATCCTGGAAGCATTGAATGGTCAGAACAATTGGACTGCTGATATACAAACCTTCAGAAATAATAAAGTAAAATAATTTTAAAATAAGCTGTTCAAAATTTCATCAGAAGCAGCAGAATATCCATAATACACAACACAATGTAACTGCACACAGTAGAATCCAGCTCTTCCTTTTGGTTTCTATTGAAAAAAATCACCATCAGTTAAGTGCAGACAGCTTACACTATCTTTAACATCATCAAACAACACCTGCCTATCCCAGGTCCTTGGGAAAGACTTGATAACTGGATAAAAATGTCAGATCAAATATAAACGTGCAGCTGATTGTACAACTAGCCATGAAAACGATACCTTTAACACCATCAAACGGTATCTGCCTATCCCAGGTATCTGAGAAGTACAGTACTCGATAGGTGGGCAAAAATACCAAATCCAGTCTAAGCATCTGTTGATACATAATACATTTTTAAACCTGACGATAATAAACCTTTAACAAGATAATGTACGTAGCTAGTTCTGAACGTTAAACAATATATATTACTACTTCTGACAATCGGGTTGAGCTGTGGCACAATAATGCTTTTTTAAAAAAATATTGGCTCCAAATACACCTTTCGATAAAGGTTTGCCAACTTCGTACCCTGCAGCTACTAGATACAGAATGAGGAAGGCAATGATGTAGACGTGTCTTTTATTCGAATATGCTTTTTTAAATATATTTTTTAATATCCCCGTCCATCGACAGCACCCATCAGGCACGATAGGCACACACCGGCTCTTTAAAAGGAAGGCGCGGCCAATTTCCTTCCGCGCTTGCGTTCCGCCGTGACGTCAATTATGTGCGACTTCTACCTGCAGGCGAATCCACGTGTATTCGGCATTTCCGGGGCTCGGGCTCTGGCCATGGAGGAAGAGGCAAGAGTGGTGCCCCAGAAGCGTTTCTACCGGCAGCGCGCACACTCTAACCCGCTGGCGGATCACACCTTATTCTAGTGAGTGTAGACAGGGTTTGCCCCCTAAACGGTTCCTTAGCTTCTTATCTCCTTCCCACTCTGTGCTGCAAATAGTTTTCCTGCGAGTTCACAAAAGCCCCCCCCCACTGCCTCCCCGAAAAGGAAGAGTGTCGAATTTCCAGCGAGTGTTTTTGTTTCGTGGGAATGCATTTGCTCACGAGTCACTGGTTTTTCGTTTGAGATGTTCTGAATGCTCAATGTGGATGCAATCCTTTTTGCTTCTGGTCGTATTGAGCTGTGGTTCAGAACATTTAGCAAATCACGAGATGGCCAATTCTTGCTGTTGACAAATTAACTTGAATGTAAATCTAGTTGGATTCTGAAAAATATATCTATCTATCGGGAGTAAGGCTTTATCTCTTTAAAGGGAGGGTAAAGGGGGGGGGAGAAGCATGACACTCTTGTTTCATCCAGGTTACTGATTTTAAAAGACGATTGTTCTAAAAGATAGCAAGACAACATCTTTCTCATCAGCACACTATATAGTCATTGCTACAGAAGTGCAGATGGCAGTAAGGAGATAGGTAAATATCCAATTTTTGTGGCCATTTGTAATAATGTGGAGTTTTACCATAATTTACACTGGATGTGTAAATTTTATAATATTCTGTAAACTAGATTAGACTATTCTTGAGTTTAATGTAGACAGAAGAAAGGCTGTCTGGAGGCCGGTTGGAACTGCAGCTGGCACCAAGCCCCTGTTGAGAGATGGCAGAGTGTATGCATAGCCCAGTTTTTGCACATTCTGATTTGCAAACTAGCTTAAAGAAATCCTAAACCTGCCTGGCCATTAATTAAGAATTCTGGGAGCTGCAATGCCAACATATCTGGAGAGTGCCCAGTTCAGAAAAGATTGGCATATTTCTTTTCATGGTGCATTATAGGAGGATGGCAGTGAGTGCTTATTCAGTTTTAGGAGTAAATTTTATTTAATTCAGCCATTATTGCTTGAGTTGAATTTTGCTTAGAAATACTGTAATGTCCTTGGGATTTGATTGCAAAGTATTATTAACATTGCAGTCCTCTGTATAGTTGCTTAGAAGTAATCCTATAAAACAGAAATGAAGTTACAGAGTCAGTCAATTTTTATTTTGGTCATTGACCAATATAAAATAACATTCAGTGATGGCACTTTTACAGCCATCTCAATATGTGCAGTTTAGCCTATAAGCTATGAAAAATACCATTTAGAATTACTATTAGAAAGTCATGTAACTTAAAATACTCATACTACAGAAACTAATAATATAGTGCAGCATATAATTATGTGAGATAAATGTTAATATATAAAAACTTTAGAAAATAAGGTAGATAAACTAACTTAATCTATCTTTGGAAGACAGTTCAGATAATTTTACTTCCAAAGTGAGAATTTATTGAATTAGTGGATTGATTGCAATCCTAAGAATCTGTTGACATCATTGGAATTTATCGTGGTTAGTCTTAACACGAAAGTCCCTAAATTATTGTATTTGGGAAATCTTTTGATTCCAGATTGGTATTTCATTTGACTATAACACATGTCCTTGGAATGTTAGCAGAAGTATAAGTCATTTGAATATTCCTGTGTTTTAAAATAGTCATCTCAGAAGCATCTCTGAAATAACCAACAGACTGTTATAACCACATGGCATCACCACAGCCCACTAATCAACTAAAGGCCTCCAAAACAACTTAAGTAAACTAAAAAAACATGGTAGCCCAAGAAAAAACAAGAGTCATCTACAGCATACAGTGTAAGGACTGTAACAGCCACTATGTACCGGTAGAACAAACAGGCAGAAGACTAGCAGAGTGCATTTCTAAACACTAACTAGTAGTTAGAAGACAAAATGGAAATCAATCTCGCAACACATGGACAGATTTAACCATAGTTTCAACTGGAAAACTGAGCATTCTACACCAAGCTAAATCCAAAAATGCTAGGGAATTCCTAGAAACTTGACATTCAGACAAATCAGCCATCAGTAGACACAAAGAGATAAACCATATTTATGCACCATTCAAATAAAAAAAAATCCTCTCCAGCAGCCTACACCCAGATAAACAATGTTTAACAGCAGATTAGCAAGCAGAGAATAATACCTTAATCAAGGAATTGTAAACGGGGAGCAAACCTGCAGTCATTAGTGATCTTACCTACTCAGGTGCAAACAAACAAGCTCAAAAAGCACCCCAAAAAACTCCACATTAAATTATATTCCAGAATATAGGTTCAAATAGTTTTTTTAAATTTTGCACCATTTAAATATGTTAGGATTCCAGTTCCCAGAATTCTCAAGACAGAATATAGAAACTGATCTATATGTAGTTTTTAGTACTGGGTATTCTTTGAAAATGACTCAAAAGCAGGCCTTCAACTCATACAAGAGGAATTCTGCTGCTCGTGAATGCAACCCAGACTTTTTTCAGCTTCTGCACAAGCCTGAAAAAAATGATGCTTTAAGAAATCCATTTGTTCAAATTAATGAAACTTTTAAAGCAGTGGCTTCTTTTTTCAAGCCCGAACAGCTGTATTGAATAGTAGACAAGCACTGCATTTATGTCTAGTCTGAAATAGGTCTTCTGCATTGTTTCTGAAGTGTGCATAGCCTTAATAGCTTCCCTTCTGCAGTATTTGTTTCATAAACCTCTGGGTTTTTTCCCCCATTAGTCCTGCCAAGCCTGAGGAAATGGACTGGTCTGCACTGTATCCAGAGTTTTTTGCTCCTTTAACCAATGATAATTGGCACAATGATCCAAAGAACATGGAAAGAATCAAACCTAGATATCAAGTGGAATTTGCTGATATTGGCTGTGGTTACGGAGGATTACTTGGTAATTTTTTTCCCTTCTGTTGATTCATAAGAGATGACTAAGCTGATTTCCATATTTTATGGAAGGTGGCTTCAGTGATAACGTGAATATTCATACCATCAGAAACCCTTTTTAGATTTTATTTTTCTTTTGGGATAGGATCTCTGAAGGTTTTGTGATATAAGTCAGGAAGGGAGCTGGGTACTTCTTTTTTTTTCATCCAGGCCGATGATCTGATTTCCACTAAAGGTGATTTTTAGGTGATGATTGTGGCTACCATGTGTACAATCTGATTAAAAGGGCCTTGCTTTGCTAGGTATCACATATATAGTTACCGGTCGTTTGTGCTCAGTTTTTCGCATGGACAGTTGTTCCTGCATGAACCGGTTCTGTGAAGCTACTTTTCAAATCCCGGCAAGTGTGAGTTCATAGGAAATAAAGCCTAGAGATGCTGTAAGGCTTCTGAGACTTAAATTGTTTCCATCTGAAATATCCTAGAACAGTGGTGGCGAACCTATGGCACGGGTGCCAGAGGCGGCACTCAGAGCCCTCTCTGACTCGTGCACGCGGCAGCGGGGTCAGGATCCGGAAGTCGACCCAAAATATGTTGGAAAAGCGAAATCCGCGGCGGCACATGTTTTTTTTTCCAAGTTAGTTAGTCAGTTAAAGTTAAAGAGCGTCCTTTTTTTTTCTAGAACGTTTCAACCTTAACTAACTAACTTGAAAAATCAGAGTGGGTCACACGACAATGGTGGGCAGCCACGCCCACCCAATGGGCCACACCCACCCAATGGGCCACACCCACCTGGCACCCGACGATGCATAAGTGGGTATTGGGTTGCAGTTTGGGCACTCGGTCTCTAAAAGGTTCGCCATCACTGTCCTAGAAGATCTTAACTCCTTGCAGCATGTTCCACATTGAAGATAGGACCCAATGAATTCCATAATGGTTGTAGCACATGAAAATGTAGGGTTGTGGTCTTATTGGCGTGCCTAGTACAGGTAGTCCTTGACATACAACCTTTGGTTTAGTGGCCATTCAAAGTTACAATTAATGGCACTGAAAAAAACAACTTATGGCCATTTTTCACACTTATGACCGTTGCAGCATCCCCATGGTCGTGTGATCAAAATTTGGATGCTTGCCAACTGGCGTGTATTTAGGATGGTTGTGGTGCCCCTTGTGAGCTTCTGACAGGCAAAGTCAATGGGGAAGCCAGATTCACTTTACAGCCATGTTACCCACTTAATAATTGCAGTGATTCACTTAACAACGGTGGCAAGGAAGGTCGTAAAATGGGGCAAAACTCAACAACCATCTCACTTAGCAACAGAAATTTTGGTCAATTGTGGTCGTATGTCAAGGGATACCTATAAGTCTATCAAAGCTCCTATTCTCTGGTACAATGCAGCCTTCCATGAAAGCAAACGTAGTTTGGTCCCAATAGATAGCAATATAAATATACAGTAATGGCCAAAATTGTGGAAACCTTTTGGGGAAAGTGTACAGTAGAAATGCCACCTTTGGTTACGTTTCCACCAATTTTTCTTCTAATTTCTTTATAACTGTAGCCTTGTTCACTTAATAATACTATTTCACATCGCTTTCTGGGCAACCAGTCAACTCTTTGCACCATTACTTTAATTTTATTACGTTTTACAAGCTCACTAAATGAAAGAACACAAAAAAACCCAACCAACTTGATAGCGATTATATAACACTCTGACAAATGTCCTCCTCTCAGCTTCAATACATGACATCAATAACTGAATCCTGTGATCTGATTGGTTCATTGCCAAAACAAGATGACAGCTGATTGGCTGTCTAAACACTCATGCTCATTGACTACAATCAGATGAAGGAAAGCTACCTGATATCAACCTAAGCAAGTTGTGCTTCCTTTTTCTGGTTATTTGGCTATAACTTTTCATAGAATACAGTACAGATAATTGAACAAACTATGTTGCATTACATTCTTGATTAAATTATTTTTCCATTGATATATAATTTTATGGTACTACTCCCAAAAAAAGTGTTATTAGCCATCAAACCTCAAAAATACACTTTTCCCAAAAGGTTTCCACAATTTTGGCCACTACTGTAAATGTGGGTAGAGTCAAAGAAGCACATCTGACCTGTTATTTACACATCCTATTGATAGATGTTTGTATTCAGTTCTAGCTATGCATCTCCTGCTCATCTCTTGTTGACCTTGTTATCTCGTTTTTCTCCCATTTGGCTCTTTCTCCCCCCCCCCCCATCTTTCCAACAAGAGGCCATCCTCTTCCCCACAACTCCCCAGCCAGCATGGATGATAGACATGTTTGGAGGTGATAGAAGCAAGAAGTGTGTTTGTCAGGTTAGCATGGTCTGTGCAGCCCATCAGTTATATGCATCTTGCAAACAATGCTAATTTGAGGTGGACCTTGCTCTACCATTTTGCCCGTAAGCAAGAGGATATAGCTATCATATATTCATAATATATAAGCTGTTAACTAATAAGAGACTCCCAAGTCTGCATGCTTGTTTTGCAGATTTATAATATTCTGGTTGACAATAAGAATTGCAGCCAAAACAAGGCTTGTCTATTGCCCTGATTTTAAAGGCTTTTAGAGTAAATTGAATGATTGAGAGTTGCAGGGCTGTATGTGCTGTGATCAGAGCTCAAGAATACCAATTCTGCAAAATGCCCCAGCAGGATCCTGAAGCTTTAGCCTTTTGCCACCACGACCACGTCTGAGAGATTGTCAAGGCTTGTCAGGCACTTTAGGGAACATCTCTGTTGCTAAAAGCATTCAAAAATTGCTTTGAAAGAACAGCAATAGGCAGCTCAGACTGTTGAATAGGGTGTTGAATTCCACAGTATCATAATCCTGGGACATAATCTGAAGGAGCATGGCAGCTTCAACTTTGCTGAAAGAAGGCAGATCAGACTAGTGCTTTGAATAAAAGATTGCTCAGAAATCTTAAGCAAATTTAGCTTTGGCTTTTACTATAAAAATGTGGAATTTAAATACAGAAAGAAATATTTTATCCCACCCAATTTAAATCAGTTTTCCCAAGCTGTTGGACACTACTGCTCCTCAAAATGCCAGCTAGAGTGACATTCGGTTTAGTAATTAAGAATATTAGAAATTGTAATTCTCTTACATCTGGCGGGCACCAGATTGGTAGAACCTGCTACATTTGTCTGCTTGGAATAAAAAAAAATGGATGAAAAAAATTGGAAGTTGTACAATCAAAGTTGGCGGCAATCCAGTCCAAAATAAGAGGACTTTTTCTCCTGATTTCAGCAAGAGAACTATTTCTATACAGGTACTCTCTTCAGTTCAAGACTGTAATGGAAGCTGGGGTAATGGTAAAATTCAGGACTACCAGGATTTCACCAACAGTGTACTGGCTAGGTTAGAAAAATGGAATAAACACCACCAGTAATTTGTTTGTGACGTCAACATTTCAATGGCGGAGTCAAGAATTCACGTGGTTAACAAGCGATTCCCCGTAAAAATGTGGGTGGGTGGGTGGGTGGGGTTTTACCTTCATTTACGGATTTTTGGCAAAAAAAAAACACCAAACACATTGTGAAACGCAGTCATGTGACTGTGGGACACTGCAAACAGCCATAAATGTGGGCTGTTGCCGAGCACCCAAAATGCAGGGGAGGGGCAGAGAACCGGTACCGCGATGGACCTGCCATTCATAAAGCATCTTTTCACCAGAAGGCAAAATGGTGTGGTTTCCTTTCCCCCACCCTTGTCCCAAGGTGCTTTTTGCCCCCTCAACTTTAAAGAGAGGCAGGAGGTTGATGCTTGGCACCACGTCAACTCCCTGCTCTTGCAATTAGAAGAAAAATATTCGGGTGGAGGCAGAAAAATTTGGAGACTTCACTTAACCTGTATTCATGCTGGTGAAATATAAGTGGACATAAAGTCACTGATTGCTGTTTTCTTTTATAGTGGCCCTATCCCCCCTGTTTCCAAACACACTAATGCTGGGCCTGGAGCTCCGTGTGAAAGTCTCCGATTATGTTTGTGACCGAATCCAGGCACTCCGAGCCTCTCACCCTGGGCAGTTCCAGAATATTGCTTGTGTTCGCAGCAATGCTATGAAGTACCTGCCCAACTTCTTCTGCAAGGGACAGGTGAGTCTCTGAAAAGCCTCTCTGGGGATCCTGCAGGAAGCAGAGCCGTCTTGGGGGCCCCAAAACCCACTTCTCTGTGCTTGCAGGGAAGAATCTTCTCCTGCCCTGTTCAGCTTTGGGAGAGTTTTGATTTCAGGGATCTTTGTGGTGGCTTGTGAGAGGGTATTGTTATATTTTTACAAAGGGACATCTTATGTACATCCTGCACCGACTTCCCAAGGCATCAAAGAGATGCTTTAGATCAGGGGTAGGCAACCTTGGCTCTTTTATGACTCGTGGACTTCAACTCCCAGAATTCCTGAGCCAGCCATGCTGAGGGGAAAGGGAGAGGTTTCCAAGCTGCGCCATGCTGGCTCAGGAATTCTGGGAGTTGAAGTCCATGAGTCATAAAAGAGCCAGGTTGCCGACCCCTGCTTTAGATAATAACTCTGTGGCCTGAAGAGTGTTTTAATCTAAAAAGCTACTGTACATGATCCATACGTCCTGCTGCTGAGGGGCAGCCTTCATTCAAAAGAGAGAGATGATTGCTGGTATAGTCCTCGACTTACAACAGATTGCTTAGTGACTATTTGAAGTTACAACGGCACTGAAACAAGTGACTTATGGCCATTTTTCACACTTGTGACCGTTGCAGCATCGCCATGGCCACATGATTTCCATTTGGATGCTTGACAACTGACTCATATTTATGACCGTTGCAGTGTCCCGGGGGTCATGTGATCCCCTTTTGGGACCTTCTGACAAGCAAAGTCAGTGGGGGAAGCCAGACTCACTTAACAACCATGTTACTGATTTTAACAACTGGAATGATTCACTTAAGAAAAGTCGTCAGATGGGGCAAAGCCCACTTAACAAATTTCTCACTTAGCAACATAAATTCTGGGCTCAATTGTGGTCGTAAGTCGAGGACTGCCCGCAATGCTCTTGATAGCTTTAGTGACTGAACGTTGTCTGAAAGCTGAGTAGGAGAGCTGAGTTGCTGAAAGACCAGGCAAACCTCCTCTGTGCTTTTTTATCTTTTCTTACCTCTCTAGCTCCTCAAAATGTTCTTCCTCTTCCCTGATCCTCATTTCAAGAAGACAAAACACAAGTGGCGGATTATCAGCTCCACTTTGCTGGCAGAATACGCCTATATCTTGCGCGAAGAGGTGAGCAGGGAATATATTTTGGGTAGCTTAGACCTCCCCAAAGCAGCCTAGGTTTATAATCCAATGAAATTACTCGACAAAGATTCTTATTCAGTTCTCCCCGTTTGCCTCCATTTTAGGGGCTCTTTTGATTTTGGCATAAAAGAAAGCATTTAATGTACGAGATTAGAAAGCTTCCTTATTGGAGAGCTTCTTTCCTACCATAGTAATTCAAACAATGTTACGATAGCGAGACTTGTCAGTAGGCAGATACCTTCAGATTACACTGCACTTTTAATTCATTCGTTCATTTTCAACATTTGGGAGAATTGGAGTACCCATGCTGGTGAGGCTGTAAAATCAGTGGAGTAAAAGGGACTAGACTTTTGGGGTCCTTTTTAAAAGTTTAAAATAGGTTTGTTAAGCCTATCGCCTAAAATCGTCCAGACAAAAACATTGTTATCTCCCAAAATAGCCATTGTATAACCAGATGTCAGGAGTGGAGTCCGAGAAGATTCTTGGACAGGCTTCCAACAGTCCTTGACAAATCAAGGGAAGGAATTCCAGCTAAGTCCCTAGAGAGCCAGCCAACTCCCAGGCAGAGTTAAACAAAAGATGAGCAAGTAATAGATCACAGGATGACTTCTCATTAAGCCAGTAAAAGCCTTAGATTCTCAGTTATCTAACAAAAATCCCAATTAAGATTTTCCCATTAAATCAGGTCACTGGAAAAAGGTAGGAGGAATATGACTGTACATTTGTATTGATCATTCCTAAGTGTTTGCAGTACTTGGAGATAACCCTTTTCCTGAATTTTTACCCTGTACAGTGTCTGCCCATTCACACATTTTTGGCTTCAATAGATAATGGAGCGAGGGCTAGTTTGGTGTAGTAGTTGACATCAGGCCAAAGCAGAATACAGTAGTATACATTCAACATTAGTCTAGACCAGGGCTTTTATGACTTGTAGACTTCAACTTCCAAAAATTCCTGAGCCATTCATGCTGGCTCAGGAATTCTGGGAGTTGAAGTCCATGAGTCATAAAGGGGCCATTGTTCCCCACCTCTGATCCAGACAGTCTTTTCTCTCCTTAGTGCTCTTAAGAGAGAGTATGAATGGAAGATGCATCTTCTCTTTGAGGATCCGTTTATTCATGAGAGCAGATTTTAATTGGTGGCCTGCAGAGGGGAATTTGCCTTTAAATCAGAAGGGCAATTCATTTCTTTATTAAAATCTGTCAACGTGTGCCCGTCACGTCAGCATATCCTAAACCCTCCCCTGCTTACATTTGGGAATTTCTGATCTGAGAGTAGGGAAGAGTGCCAGTTGCTTGCCGGAGGAAAAGGATCAACTTTACCCTACATCTCGCAGGGAGCTGGTGCTGGCAGGGAACCTTGGAAGGAGGTTCCTTCAGTCCTGATTGCTAGCTCCTTCCTGCAGGGCATTCTGGCTGACTCCACTTTCACCTGCCAGAGAAAAAAGTAGAAAGTGCTTGTGTGCCATCCTTTTTTGGAGTTGAAACCAACTAAGTCTTGTCTTTGGGATGAGCGGCATCCGGCCTCACCCAGTTGGGATGAATCATATTCTCCCTTCGGCTTTTCCATGATTTCCCCAAAGTTAGCGCTCTGGAGGAAGAGGTTGGGAAAAGCCCAAGCGAAGCGCTTCCTATGGGGATGACGGAACTAATGGTGGCAGCGGTACCCTCCCAGCAACCCCAAGATTGCAAACGTTTTGCTCCAGGTGAGAAGGGAGTTCAGAGTCAGAGGTAGCTGGGAATTACTCACGGGTCTGACATTGTTTTTTCTACTGCACAGGATAGTTTTTGCTGTAAGGTTTTTCTAGTGAACCTGTAATTTGCAGGTGTGAGTGTCTTTAAACTACCTTTCCCCTTCGTTAGCAGTCCGGTATTTGATTTGTGAGGGTCTGTCTCGCACCCTGTTTATATAACCTAGCCTTCATTCACCTAGGCCCTAGTATATACCATCACAGACGTGGAAGAGGTGCACACATGGATGGTGAAGCATTTTCGAGATCACCCCCTTTTCGAGGAAGTGCCATTAAAAGAATTGGTAAGAAAGTGTGTGTGGCTGGGCAATTTCTGTCGTAAGAGATTTTGCAATTTCAGACATGATTTTCCATGGGTATATGTGTCAGGGGGGGATGGGGACTAATATATAAGTATGCCACTCTTTGCACGTTGCATTAAAGTTCCTGATTCCGGTTGCAGCTCATGGGACTTTCTCTGCGCCAGTTGCAATCGGGCAAAGTGCATTTTTAAAACAAGTTACCAAAGTATCAAACTCATGTAGAATGAGCAATTATAGCTTATGATTGCAGTTGAGCCCAACATTTCTGTTGAGCAATTTATGCCTTCTCTTTTTATGACCTTTTTTTTGCCATGGTTGTTAAGTAAACCTGGCTTCTTTCATTGACTTTGCTTGTCAAAAGCCCCTGGGAAATTTGCAAAAGGTGACCACATGACCCTGGGACAGTGCAACTGTCATAAATACAAGCCAGTTGCCAAGCCTCCAAATTTTAATCCTGTGACCATGGGGGATGCTGCAATGGTTATAAGTGTGAAAATTGGGCATAAGTCGCTTTTTTTCCAATGCCGTTGTAGCTTTGGTCACTAAATGAATGATTGTAAGTCGAAGATACTCTGTATTAAGAACTTTCTGACTAACAAGCTTAGTGTCATGGTTCCGACAGATGAAACTCTTCAAAGAACTTTGAGGCATTGTTTACCTTAAAAAATCTTTATTTGAGTAGCATAGCATCGGCACTAACATAATCGAAGCCAAAAACTGAGTTCCTCTCTCCTGAGCACATAGTATCAAAGCACAATTCCTTCCTCCAGTTAACAGTCATAAATCACATTCCCCAATTAGTTTGAAGTGCGGGCTTTCCCTCCAGTCCGCCAATTCTTTATCATCTCTTATTTCAATAACCTTGGTTCTCATCGCTAGGTTCCGTGTTATTATGTCTAACTAGACTCTCACGCACATTCCCCCCCCCCCCCCGGCATCATCTAAGTCTAAAAGCAAAAAGAAGAAAATGGCTGCATCTCCATCTGTTGTCAATGCAAAAACATCCGATGTTAGCAGCGTTGACACTTAGACTTAGTGAAATCTTGAGGTGGTTCCATTACCGTGCTTAATATCTATTCTCTCTTGTACCTTGTGATTTTTTTTTAACTTTAAAAAAAAAACAATGACTGTTTGTAATATTTTTATTGTTTTATCAAGTGTTCTGTATTCCCTCAGGATCACTTTTTGTGAGATGGGTAGCCATATAAATGTTGTATATCTGTCTATATGCAGGGTATAAACGAAAGAAGGAAGATAGGGTTGCAACCGCTTGAAAACCACAGGAACTGCTTCCGTACTTCTCTAAAAGAGATTACTACTACTCCACCCACACCATCCTTATTTATGTGATGTATTGGGAGTTCACCGATAATCCAATTGTGTAACAGCCGTTTTAAATGGTTATATTTAGAAACTCAAGAGTGAAAGCAAGGGATTTCAGCAAAGAAGAAGGTGCATATGCTGGAATAGATTCATTTGGGGTAAATCCTGCTGATCCACAAGACATTAAGAGGCTAAATTTAGATGCATTATGCATCTCTTACATCCTAGAGTTGGGGAAAAAATTAGCATAACCATGACTTCAGCTCCCATGATGTTTGGGTGTGGGAATTGCAGATCCCACCAGTTGGGAAAGGTTGTTCTACAACCTCGCATTAAGATCATAACGTTGACTCCCTAGTAAGAGTACCTAGGATTGAAAATCTGTAAATCCAGACCTGCAAGTAAAAGTTAATAAACAGATTTATTCACAAAACATCTGGCTAACTTTTAGTCCAGTGGTGGCGAACCTATGACACGGGTGCCAGAGGCGGCACTCAGAGCCCTCTCTGTGGGCACACGTGTCGCTGCCCCAGTCCTAGGCCTTCAGCTGGTTTTTATAAAACCTTTTCGCTTTAGGCCTCCGGCACCGTGTGCAAAAAAAAAAAAAAAAAGGTTCAATCAGTCGATTTCAACTTCTCACGGGGAAAAAAAGATCTTGCAAAGTTGGAATTGATTGATTGAACTTTTTAGTCCCACCCAGTCTGCCATTACCACCGCAGCCACACCCACCCAATGGGCCATGCCCACCCAATTGGCCACACCCAGCCAATGGGCCACACCCACCCGGCACTCGACAATGCATAAGTGGGTTTTAGGTTGCAGTTTGGGCACTCGGTCTCTAAAAGGTTCGCCATCACTGTTTTAGTCCATTTGGCAATATCTGGAAATAGAATTAGAACAACTGTGATAAAAGGAACCAAAGATAGTACCAATACTAATAGGCGCCCTTGGGTGCGATCCCAATGCAACTGGAGCATCACTTGAAACACCATCAGCACTGACAAAATCATCACTAGTCAATTGAAAAGGCAGCCTTATTTGGAACAGCTTACATCCTGTGATAATGCCTTTAAAACTATCTGACAGCATCTCTCTACCCCAGATCCTTGGGAACACCTTGAAAATGCCAGATCCAGTCTAAACACCTGGATGATTGTGCGATGACCGTAATAATGATGATGATGATGATGATGATGATGATGATGATGATGATGGAGGGGAGGGAAGGACAAAACTCTCCAAATGCTCAACTTCTGTATTGGCTCTTTGCAAGTGTGCTTCCATCTTGGGATCATTAGTTGGGCAAGGACTGTTTGAGGAGCTATGCGATGTGATGTGTCCCCATTGGACATATTTGCTGATCTGGATGTTGGAATCATCGAGTAAACTCATGCCGTTGTTTCTTCAAACAGGCCTCTGACCCCGTTGTAAGCCTCCTAGGAACCTCAACTGAAGAAGGGAAGAAGGTTCAGAGGAATGGAGGCAAAGTCTTCCCGGCTGTCTTCCGTCGCGTCAGGGACAGGGAACAGGAAGAGGAAATGGCAAGGACATGACTGGGAGTTTCCTAAATCCTTGAAGGCATTCATGTCTGCAGCAAGAAGACTGGAGAAAACGTAGGATTGGATGCTTCTGGCTGCCCTGGAATTGACCTGTCATAAATAGGGGTGGAGAATCCTTTCTGGTGAAACATTTCCATGTTGCAAAAGGATTTTCTTGGTTCACATGTTTGCTTCTTAATTTTGCCCCTAGAAGGAATACATCCAACTGACCTTCCTGGTGACCATATAAAGGTCAGAAGTTCACAAGCAGGACCAAGAGTTAAGGATGGAGGTGAGGCTCTTTTAAGTCATAGTTTCATTTGTCACTTTTATTTTGTTTATAATAAACTTGGAAAGGTTTTCATTAAAATAGGTGAATTGGGGGATCCAGCTTCCCTTGGCTTCAGAGCATGAGTAAGACCTTTGGGGACTTGGTCCATTCTGGTATTTCTTGTCATCCTCTTTTATCTCCCCCAAAGCTCACTTTCAAATCCACTTCTTGTACCTCCAAGAACTGGTATACGTTACAGGGCACGTGCTTTCCCCTCTTCCTCCAGATCTTTGCCAATTCTAAAATCCGTTGGGGTGGTGGGGAATTACTGCAGCGACAAGCTGCCAGCCTGCTCCCCTCATAATGTCATATAGAAAAAATAACAATAGCACTTAGCACTTATATACCGCTTCACAGTTCTTTACAGCCCTCTCTGAGGCAGAGTCAGCCTATTGCCCCCAACAATCTGGGTCCTCATTTTACCGACCTCGGAAGGATGGAAGGCTGAGTCAACCTTGAGCCGGTCAGGATTGAACTCCTGGCAGTCGGCAGACTTCGCCTGCAATACTGCATTCTAACCACTGCGTCCCCACGGTTCCTAGGCGATGGGCCAGCGCAATTTGCAGAGAAGCTGAGGGGCAGATGGGTGAAATGCCTTCTGCCCAAAGCCATCTGTTAGGATACTTTGGTTTTTCGTGATTCATCCTTTCATTAGCTTCAGTTGCAGGAGAAACCGCGTGCTTTGCTCATCCCCTTCCCTGTATGAAAGCGAGGCTCCTTGCTGAGTCATTAAATATTTCTCTGTCTAAAATGCACAAGGGGTAGAAGAAACTCCTGTCCTTCGAATGCAGTGGATACACGACAGCTGTCATTTCCATGTCAACTGTAGAGCAAGTCCTGTGCTGAGGTGGCTTCCTTTGAGGTGGAAAATGCTTGTTCTGGATAATGGTGATCTGCTGCAGCCATGACAAATGACCTAGCTATCCTCCTTCCTAATCCGTCGACTCATTCCTTTGTTTTGCCTACACCTTTCAACCAATCTTTCCATAGTAAAGTTTTTAGTGGGTGGGTATCATTTTCTCTTCCCTTTTTGCCTTTTGAATATTTCACTTCCCTTCCAGGATGGAATTAAAAATAAAACAGTGCAGTCATAATCAGTGGTACTCCAAATAGGCTGGGAGGGCTTACATAACAGTAATAGCACTAGCACTTAGACTTACATACCGCTTCATAGTGCTTTATAGCCCTCTCTAAACGGTTTACAGAGTCAGCATATTGCCCCCCAACAATCTGGGTCCTCATTTTACCGACCTCGGAAGGATGTAAGGCTGAGTCAACCTTGAGCTGGTCAGAATCGAACTCCTGGCAGTCGGCAGAATTAGCCTACAATACTGCATTCTAACCACTGCGCCACTACAGTTCCATCTAAATTTATCTCTTCCATGTCTGACTGCAAGTGGGTAGCCTGAAATGACCCAATAGGCTCGTTAGGCCCCATTTTTACAAGGCCTCTTTTGGACTTTGCCTCAGTTAAGAATATCAGGGGGGAAAATAGCTCTATCCGCACTATGAATGGGGGTAGTTTATTTTATTTTGTCTTATTTCTATTCTGCTTCAACTATACAGTTCTGAGTGGCTTAGAACAATTAAAAGACATGAAACTGTAGAATATAATTGCAAAGGAGAAGTAAAATTTAAGAACAGAAACTTCCAGTAGATCAAGATCTAAAAGCCCACGGTAAAAGGATTACTAAATATAAACATTTAGAAATAACTCACTTGGATGGAAATAGTTTAGCCCCAAACAAAACTGGATCAGTCAACATCCAAATCTAAGCCTATCTGGATTAATTAGCTAGTTAAATTAAGTTTTGGGAGTTTGCATGACATGTTTATCTCTTCTCCCTCATGCCATGCATACAATGTATATTTTAGCATAGATAGAAGTTTATGCATGTAAAATACTACGAACATTGTCCAAATTATTATTTGAATAATCATAAGATTTAATTAAAGTTATGTACTTATTTTCTGTAATTTCCTTCGTTGCCACTAACTTCAGGGAAGAGTTAGGAGCCTTGAGGATTCCCATCAATGTCTGTGCCACTCCTAGCAAGAGCTTGAGAACTCCTTGTTTTTAGAGGAAATTTAAAATGGAATTTCCTGCACAGTTTTAGCCTTTTCATTGCATCCGTAAGGGCTAGGAATGTATTTTAAAACACCCAAAATGGGGGGGGAGGGCAATTAAAGATACTCTCGCTAGTAACCTCTAGTTACCAATGCCATCTTCTCAATTGGTGCAGAGTTGGAATAGACAGAATTGGCAATGTGTCATAAAAGCTCATAACGCATACTGTTATCTCTCTTCGGAGACTTATTATGTTCTCACTCAGGATGAGTCACTGCCAAACGGGAATGAATGCAAGGTGATTGTTGTGCGTGCAACCTTGTAAACACTCCCCAAGTTATGAGTCACTTCTCAGTTGGGTGAGAAATGCTAGTTACATTTATTGGGTTGTTGTCATTGCTAACCCCACCCCCCGCAGCTTCCCCGTTGCTCCAGGCGGCTTCGTTACTTTCTGGTTGGCAGACTGAACACCGATGTGCATCAGTGTTGAATTCTTGAGTAACAAGTACTCGGTGTAGCAAGCTGGGTAATTCCTAGGAAGCAGAGCTCAAGATGAGAGAGTCTGGCTCAGGGTGTAGGCATGTTTCTTCCACCAGACACGAGAATCTGTAGACCTCGGAATGATTCCCTTTTTAAGGAAAAGCTCCTTACTCCTCCCAAAGCTGGATCAGGCTAGATTGTTATGACTTTTGTTCCTTTGTGTTGGATAGTCCTGCAAGTTATCTGTATTTGTACACTGGGGCTAAGGACCTTTAACAAAAGTCCTGCCATTCTGGTCCTTTCCTCCAACCTGTTAAAAATGGTAGGCCGCTGCCTGATTCGAGCAACGGATGCGACACCCACATATAGCAGATCAATTCCGGATGGCTCTTTTATCATATCATGAAAAAGCTTTTCGTAATAATCAGCTATTTTTCCCCCCCAAGAACCTTCTGCGATAGCCCAAGAATAAATATGCATAAATTTCAAAGAGGATGTTTTTTAAATACCTGTTGAGCAGAAGGCAAAAACCTTTGTCTGAAAGAATCCATCTAAGCCAGGGCTTTTCAACCAGTGGTACGGGTACCACCTGTGGTACATTGGCACTTGGCAGGTGGTACGTGACCATCCTAGAAAAGTGGTAGCGGGCGAGGGGAATGAGCTGAACCGGTGGCAGCACTGCACAAGCCTGAGTGAGAGATGGCTGGAGCTGCAGGGCTGTCAGGGCTCAGTGGAAGCGCCAGGATCAGCGCCAGGCTCCAGCTGGTGCTCGGCGCTGATCCTGGCGCTTCTGCTGAGCCCTGAAGAAGCACCAATCAGCTGGAATGTTGCAGCCTCTCCAGGGTTTTCTGATTTACATTCAGATGCTTGGCAACTGATTCATATTTATGACGGTCACAATGTCCCAGGGTCATGTGAAGTGGCCAAAATCTGCTGCAACCACCCAGAAGACGGGGGGAATAAAAACCAAACACCCCCCACCCCACCTCTGCTGCCAATCCTCAACAGAAATGCTCACAACAATGAAAACCTCGGACAGGAGGAAGAGCGCGGCCGGGCAGGCAGGCAGGTGTCTTGCTCGGTTGTGGCTTGGGGGCCATTGTAACTTCGAACAGTCACTAAGCAAACTGTTGTAAGTTGAGGACTACCTGTACTTCATCACTTTTTTCCTGTTTTTGGGGGGGGGGTCATCAAATTTTTGACCCCTTGCTAGGCGACTGGTGGTACTCGTATGTTGCCATATCCTAAAAGTGGTACAATGGCCGAAAAGGTTGAAAAGCCCTGATCTAAGCAGTTTAGGGCTAAAAAGCACCCAGCCTTTGGGTGCACATTTCAGTTTAGAGCCAGTTGTGTTTCGGCCTTTATGATTACTCAATCACTTGGTACATGCATTCCAGCCAGAGTGTTCAGCAATTTCAAAGGCAGATCCCATAGAGACAGGGTCCCTAATATGCCCCCCTGACGATTTTTAACTTAAAAAAACAACAACAACAAAAAAGGGAAGCTACTCACTAATAAGTTACAAAGCACAACTATGTACCCCCAGCAGAGTTTGGTCTCAATCCTCCTGTGGTTGTCTAGACCAGGGGTCTGCAACCTTGACAACTTTAAGACTTGTGGACATCAGCTCCCAGAATTCCTCAGCCAGCTATGCTATGCTATGCTGGCTGAGGAATTCTGGGAGCTGAAATCCACAAGTCTTAAAGTTGTCAAGGTTGCAGACCCCTGGTCTAGACCAAAACCCTCTTGGTCTAAGACAGGGGTAGGCAACCTTGGCTCTTTTATGACTCGTGGACTTCAATTCCCAGAATTCCTGAGCCAGCCATGCTGAGGAGAAATGGGGAGGTTTCCATACTGAGCCATGTTGGCTCAGGAATTCTGGGAGTTGAAGTCCACGAGTCATAAAAGTGCCAAGGTTGCCCACCGCTGGTCTAAGATGAGAAATATGGTGGCAGTTGACTTCTTTTTGCAATTTGGTTTCCCTTCTGGACGTACGATGCTTGGTCTCAGCCACCAAGAGAGCTATTTTTGTGAATGCTCATAACATGCACTCAGAATTCCAAAGGGATCTACAAAGTAAAATAAAATAAATAAAATGGAGGATTATACCGCAGAGCCATTTCTTGTGTTTAGGAAAGAAGTGGGAAAGTGCAGGTGGGAAGGCCATCCAATGTCTACCTTGCATTTTCTGATGAGCTGCCATCTTGTCACTTGGGGTGAATGCTCTTTCGTGGAAGAAAATCAAAGTGCAAAGATCAAACTCCTGCTGCCGCATTTATCCTGCTCTTTCATTAGGGCCACTGTATCTGGACTACAAAACTCCAGTCTTCTGGATTTATTGCTGCCTAGATTTTGTTTGCTTATCTTTAATTAAAATAGGTCAACAAACTGTTTGAAGCAGATTTTGTTTATGCACCAAACACGAAACCAGTCTGCATCTTGGAAGGTCCCCAGAGCA